TACATTGTTAATACTATGTCATAGAAGTACACTGTTAATACTATGTCATAGAACTATCTTTTTAGTTAAAATCACATTCTGCATATCATAAACTTCAAGTGCACAGCTATATATAGAGCAAAATATAGAGCATGTTTTTTTACTAAAAAATTTCTTTATATTATAGAAAATTAGTAAAATATCCATATTATGTCATAGAAGTACATTGTTAATACTATGTTATAGAATTATCTTCCTAGTAAAAATCACATTCTACATATCATAAAATTCAAGTGCACAGCTATATATAGAGCAAAATATGGAGCATGCTTTGTTACTGAAAAATCTGTTAATATTACAGAAAATTAGTAAAATACCCATATTATGTCATAGAAGTACACTGTTAATACTATGTCATAGAACTATATTCCTAGTAAAAATCACATTCTGTATATCATAAATTTCAAATGCACAGCTATATATAGAGCAAAATATGGAGCATGCTTTGTTACTGAAAAATCTGTTACTATTATAGAAAATTAGTAAAATACTCATATTATGTCATCGAAGTACATTGTTAATACTATGTCATAGAAATTAACTCAGTTGCAGAATATGAACAGTTCATACCACTTACTGGAAGTTAACAACTACATCATTTCCTTTGCATAATATGTACGATAAAAGTGTACAATTGCAAAAACCCCATGTTCGTAAACCAGCTACCTCATTATAGCACAACTTCATAGCTTTTGAAAGTAAGCTTTAGAGACTGTTTTCTACTAATTGAAAGTGTTACCTTCATTACTTCTAGACTAATGTTGTTCATGCACCAGTGGAAATTGACACATGCTAAAGAGCTCAATTGAAAATTTATTGCATTAACAGATCCAAGATAGGACCCAAAGACCTTGACCACATGAAATGTCAATCTAAATTTTTTGAGCTGCTCTTGACTAAAAAGTAAACATAAATTAAACAAGCCTCTAGCTTCTTAAGGCAAAGAAGCAGAGAACTAAAAGAATCAAATGTATTTAGTATGGTTCAGGGCAGATGACAATTAGTTTTTCTTTTTTTCTATTTTGAAAAAGCCCATCTTTCACAGCAATGTAGCTGTAAAGTAAGTCTACAATGAAAATTGCAGTCAACTCACAAAACAACCTTGGAAGAGTTGTAAATCCTTGATATTAAAAAAAAAAAAAATTAATTCAACTAAGCTAAAAACCTAATCTGACTCCAGCTCTCTAGTATTAGCGAAACTTCATCTCATTCGGTTTGCTGCCCCTAAACGCTGAAAGAGAGAAGAATGACCTTGTTGCTAAAACACAAAAAAATAGTACACAGTATTGGAATCTTATATAAGAGAATTAGAATTGGTGCATCAAAATTCTAGTATACAACTGCAGAAAAGAATTTACAGTAAGAAACAATAGAAAAACAATAATGCATGTATATATTCTAGTCATGTGTGAAACCTTTAGTCACAGGTGCGTCGTGGCTCTCTTGCAACTTGTGTGAACAACTCTGGCCATCAAATTTGCTAATATTTGATTTGAGCTGTATGCACAAACCCACAATGGTTAGAGCATGAGACTTCGCTAGGAATATGAAAGAATATAACTACAGCGTCAACCCCCATTTAAGTGCATGAGTTATTCAGGGGAGGCAAACAATGGACATCCAAACAACTATTCTACTTTTCTCTAAATACCACCTGCATTTTTCTACAATCTACTTCAAAAACAAATTAAAGCAAAGATTGGCTAGGAAAATATTAAAGGAGAAAAAGAAACAAAAGGAGGATGGAATTAAGCAATGAAAAGAGGAAACTCAGAAATTCCAAGTACTATAACCCAACCCTCCAGCACGAATATACTCAGATTCAACTAAAAAAGGATACCTTAATTAATATGAAAACCGAATCCAATACCACAGATTTTTAACCACAGCTCAAACCAAAACACAAGATCAAATTCACAACCAAACCGAATCTGAAATCATTCCAAATTATAAACAAACAAAAAATTAAAATCACAATTCAAAACTCAAATGAATATCAATACAAATTACCTAAGTGGCCAAAATCGAATCGTCATCGAGATGCTATCCCCACCGCTTTCACGATGACTGCCACCTTAGTAGCCAAAGCCGCCATATCCTCCGCGGCTGTAACCTCCGTTACCCCTACCACCACCGCCGATTCTACGAGATTGGGCCTCATTGAAGGTGATGTTACGACCGTCGAGGTTCTGGCCGTTTATGCCATCGATCGCGTCCCTCATGGTCTTCTCGTTGTTGAAGGTGACGAAGCCGAAGCCCCTGAACATCTCGGTCTCACGGTCGTTGATGATCTTCGATTCGATGACCAAACCAAACGGAGAAAAGGCCTCCGCAACGCATCATTGTTGGTGGAGGAAAGAGTCGGCCTCATGGATCAGGACCCGAGTCCACCTCCTGAGTTGTAAAATGACCTTGCCTGTGACTGAGATGCAAGAGATTGAGCTATGAGATATGGAAATAGCTGCAAGATCTGTGAGAAAGCAAGTGAGAGATCCAAAAAGCAATGAAAATTGGAGATGCGG